GTTATATTTTAGTAAAATGCAAAATACAGCAAAAAAAAAAAGTTTTGGTTTTGATTTTTTTTTTTTTTTGTTTCTTCACCTACAACTGTATATCGTTTACATTTATTTTGGCCAGAAGTCTGTTAAGCCGTATCATCCCAACGTAACAGAAAACATCAGTAAAAACAGAAGAGAGAAATTGTGAAGAGAAATTAAAATAAAAATAGAAATCAGCTTATCAGCTGTTTTTTTCATTTAAAGTAAAATTTTAAATCAAACAAATTTTTTTATAGTGATTTCTAAAAACTGAACGGCAAAATAACCGACTGAATAGATATTAAGAATTCTTTCACTTTGAATTAAAAGTTTTGTATTTTTCTCTGTTGTACTTTTTTCCTTCCATCAATTGTCTTTGTAAAAACAAGAGGAATTGTCCTTTGACAAAAAAAAATAACTTACTTGATAGTTAAACTTTATAAGTTCATCAATTATTATCATAAATGTAGTAATGCAGTTACAGTATTGCTTTCACGGGTAAATTATTGGACAGTGATATCTGTTGTCAAACACCAATCAATATTTATAACAACTGCAGCAACAACAGCGACAACGATGACAATATGCATAGCTTCATGGAGCAAATTTCCTGATACTCTTAAACAAGAATTCAAAAAATGAATAGCGTTTAACGTAATCATATTTTATGCTGTGACAAGTAGTCACTGATTCATCCTTGAGAGATATGTTTAACAGTAATGTCACTAAAATTAATTATCCAATTGAATTCGGTTTCTAAAAATCCGGAATTTCAAGGTGAGCCGTAAAATACACTTTAAATCAATTTTTTTCTGCAACAGTAAACCTCAATAAACTATCATAATTGATAAATACTACAGAAATGCACATATCACCATCATTATTTACTGTATTAATATGGTAGGATTCAGGAAGTACGATAAAAGATGGAGAAATATTTGCTTGTAAAAAGAAAAAAAAAAAACGCTTAAAACTGTCCAAGTTTTTCTTGCTGCCGGATCGTTCAATTTTAGTCACTTCATGTAACACTTTAGTTTTCAGTTGTAACCACTGTGCGTATATCAATTACTGTATACACTGATATTAATTTCTTAGAATTTTTTCTCACAAATCTTTCGTCTTTCCCAATGCAATATCGTCCAACAGCTTTCAGCATCACCGCTTTTCCGATTACAGATAATTGTTGCGCGCCTAAACACCGATCACTGGCTGCTTTCCAAAAAAAAATTAGAATTTCTTTGAATAATCCTGAAAATTACAGACTTCTGAACGGGATTAAAGCTAGCAAACGTTTTTTTTTTATTTTTACTCTTATTTTTTTTGGTACCCAATTGTCAGTTGCTTTCGATCTGTTCAAACCAGTCGACAGCTGTCTGTTAAAGCAACTTAGTTGCTAATACTTGTTGATTTTTAAGTGTTATCTAACTTTGGTTGTTTTCTTTTCCTTTTGCTTTCATTTTTAATCGAATTCACTCTTTTTCAAGCCGAAAGAAAAACAAAGAATGAAACTAGGCTAACACAAGTTTAATATTGTAATAATTTTGTTTTTCTTTTTACTATTTATTTTTCTTCCTCTTGTTACTGCCTCAGTCTTCAGTTTTCTTTTAAGCTTTTTTATAAATCAGTAGTTTTCTTGAGTTTTTACATATTTTTCTAAAAGCATTTTACAAAAATCAGTGTTCAGAAGTTTTTCTGTACTAAGGACAATACGTAATGTTTGACTTGCAAGCAAATAACAAAAAGTTGAAATAGTAAAAAAAATTTTTTTTTTATTATTCTATCTTCCCCTTCCTCCGTCGGGTACTACTAACCTTTTCATACCACTCAAATACCAATTAGTTTATGAGCAGTTAATTGATGTTGACTTGTTTATTGCTGCTATTGCAGTTCGAAGTTAGTCTTCCTTTGAAATCAGTGGAAAAGAAGGGTAACTGCATAGAGAACTTTGAATAAAAATTGAAAATTAAAAAAAAAAAAAGAAAAAGTAGTTCAGGAAAACATTTTCGACCCATCCCTAAGAATGATGGCCCAACAGTACAAAGGGATGGTAGCAGTTAGCGAAACCGTTTTCGGAAGCGAACTTCGAGTTTTCTCCCTCTCTGATACAAATTTATGAACGTCGTTCTGAAAGCGATCCAAATTTTCATGTGTTGTCCGTCAAGGATCACTGGGAAAAAAGTCTTTTTCTACTTACCTCTAAATGACCCCAAATGCAAAAAAAGATGATAGCATGAAGTCTGCACCAACAAAAGGTTCTTTCTTCTCGGTTACTAAAGACTTTACAGTCCTGGTAGAACTGTTCTTTCCCCACAGAAGGGTATCAATTGTAAACGAAAACAGAACTAACGATCGAAGATGAGCTTTTCGTTGTAGGACCATTGGCAAGTCTTCAGCAGCGCAGCAACTATCTGATGACTCTCCAAATTGG